TTGCTTGTGTAAAAAGTTTTAGCGATTTGAAAATGTCCAATTTTTTAATCACATGATTGGCGATTATAGATTTCCGGAACCATATTAAGATGAAATTTAGAACTCGGCCAATTACCACACAGGTAAGTAGGTTATGCAGTTTGTAGATACGTATTACTACGTATATTTGCAGTGCGCCGCCTAATTCGTAAAATAAACAATAACGATAATTATAACAATTAGAAGGTGTATTATCCCTAATTTTGAATCGGGATTCATGAGTGGATATAGTGGTTTAATCATTAAATCCGGACTCAAATATTATCTCTACGCAAACATCTTTTCCTAAAGTTGGTATCAAATGTTCATATCGATATCGATACTCTAATTTAGTTTACTAACACTATATTTTGGTGACTCTGCAGCAGGAACACGGAAAGTATCGATTTGGATCGATCATATATAAAACGATATTTTTGGGTCAAAATGTAAGGAAAAGTAGGGTAAACCAACTAATTATACGCTTTAGCTATCCGAAAATGAAAAAAAATGGGTGTTATTAATAAAAAAAAAACTTGTTTGTTGCAGTTTTTTGAAAGTGATTTAAATCCAGATTTAATGAGGCATTTTGTGTTTAAAGTTTGATCAGTGGATAATCGACGGTATATGATATGTCATATGATAAAGTAATGATTATCGATCAGCGCTTATAATTTTTTCGTTAGTTGTTTTTTTTCTAATATAAATACAAGCATTTTATTGCTAAGAATTTTTAAGAATAATTGAATCTTCAAGTTATATCTCTGACAAAAACACTTCAAACCTTAAAAATGCCTGCTTTATTGGCAAAAGAAGTTCATGAATTTAATGAGGACTATGAAGAACCTCATTTTTTCTTTCTTTCAAAAGATCTAACTGATAATCTTTATCTTGAAAGAAACGATTGCGTTTATAAAAACACCATTGAAAGCTTTATTTTGAAGTTTCAAAAAGACTTTAATGCTCATATTGAAAATAAACTAAACGCGGATAGTGGGCTTATTTTATTTATGACTCAAGAAGTAAAATTTTTATTATATGGGAGCTATTCATCACTTGATATGTACTGCCTTAATGATTAAATCCGGATTTATGATTAAATCCGGATATATTGATTAAATCCGAATTTAATCATTAAATCTGGATTCAGGTGTTAACTCTAGTAGCGCTCTGTTTCTTCTTCAACTTCAAATGCTTTATCTCGAACTTTAAGTCCATATTTAAGTTCTGTGAACGCGGAGGCTCTCAGTGAATGTATAGACGTTATCAGGAGACACTAATATTATTAATAAAACAAAGCGATAAAAAAAAAAAAATGGGGCATCGACGAGGAAAGGTAATAATCATTGTGCATAATCCGTTTCCTATCGACCTTGCTAAAAATTTTGCTTATTTTGCTAGACTGCCTATGCGTCTCGTGAAAGAAATTGCAAATGCGGGTAGATTTTGGGAGTTTAATAATAGCCAGTAAAAATATTAGTAAAAAGAGTCAAACGTTTAATGAATTTCTTTATGCGACCTAAACAAAATGAACAACTTAAAGAAATTCAAATTAAATTTCCTGAAATTAGAATTCTGCTAATAAAAACTAAGGTAAATATATATTCATAAATTTATATTTATATAATAATAATAATAATAATTTTAATCTATAAGTTATGTTCTATTCTATTAGAGTATCAACGATATTTATATGCTATTACAAACTGTTCAACAAGGTAGAATTCGCCCTACCTTACTTGGAATTGGCTACTTAAATTAAAAAACCATATTAGCCTTCTTGTAAATTTATTTTCAACAAAATCTGATTCTGATACAAAAAAGGACCTTAAAACATTTAAAAATTTTTTTACTTTCCGATAATGAATGGGATACAATGGAAGTTTTAGTAGAGATTCTTCAGCCATTTGCCAAAGCTACGGATTACCTAGGTGGAAGCACTTATTGCACCTATTCAATATTGGTTCCTATTTTAATTAGGATTAAGAAACAATATCAGCCATTTAATTTCTGATAATATATAGAAATTAATTATGATTGTCAAGACTTATTTGACGACGCCACAGCTGATGAAGAAGAAGAGGAGGAAACTACACACTAATTAACACAGTTATTGTGGAAGTTAAACATAATTTGCATAATGCAATGAATTATTGCTGACCATATTTACACCAAATTTACTTTTACCCAGTCTCTTAAATCCTAGATGTAACGACCTGATCTTCATTATATTTTCTGAGCGATTTGCTACTGAAAATCTACTTCGGTTGTAATCATATGTAAATTGCCGAATAAGGATCATGAGGTTGCGCATAGTGAATTCGCATTTTAATTTATGTCTGCCTTTGCCAATCTACAATATTAAGATAGAGTATTAAATTAATAAATGTAATATTAAAATTTCTTATTATCATAATAAAACTACTCGAAAATTTATATTAATAAATTAAACGCCGATTACATAAATGATTTTGGTGGTTATGCTATGCTAGGACCGGTTTAGGGAATGTGGTCATCGAGTTGTTTTAATATCCAATAAAAGTTTTTAGATAAGTACTTCAGTGTTAATACTGTTACCTTGTGAAGTCATGTAACTTCGTTAACGCCAAATTAAGGATAACCGGGACAGATTAGGCCGATTGGGCAGATTAGGCATATTAGGCATAAAAGAGGATAAGGAGATAATGGCAGACAAATGTATATAGTAAAGTTTTATTATAAATAAAGGCCGTGTTGGCCCTAGAGGGAAAACATATCCTACCTTTCATAAAATAACAAATCCAAACTTTCGCTTTATTGAATAATGCTCTAACCCATTACAATTAATAACCAACTCCCTAAATAAATAGGGAATTCCTATTTTCACCCTCACCCAAGATATTAATGTTAAATAAATTTTCATTTACTTTAGGGTTAGGGTAAGGTCTAGGATTTTATCTAGGCATTAGTATATGCAAATTTTTACAATGAATTTTTTTGTTAGAGCCTACTAATACTATTTTTTAGTCACGCGAATGTTATTATAGTCTATCGGGTGACTTTAACCCGGGTGAAAATATAATTTCCCAATAAATATACTCGCTAAAGTCCAAACCACAACCCGATTTATTATAATAAACTTCCCAAATTACCCGAAGTAGTGTGGTAATTGAGGATCTCTGAATAAAGAACTAAGACGTTAAAAAGAAGTGAATACTTACCTATGGAACCCCAAACCACAGACCAAATCTAAACGCCTCCTTTTCGACTAAGCCGACCGTAGGTTACGCCGTTAGACCCGGTTTCAATACTACAAGATTTCTTACTTTTACACTTGATATGAAAAAATTTTTTTTTTTTTTTATTGCATAAAATATTCAAGAGTTTTTAAAAAATATTCGAGATACTTGGTTTCAAAGATTTAAATCTCCTATTTGTCCCAACTACCACGTAGAGGTGTATCTCACGGTTGGGAAGGTTTCCCCAACCCATCTCTCCTCATTCCCGACGGAGTAGGTTGTTCATCTTGGAAAGTATTGCATCAAGAAGCTTTTGCTCATTACCCCTAGAGATACTATCAACTTACTTGGCCAACCAAAAAATTCACTTTTAATTCTACTGGTAGTCTCACTCTAAAAATCTTTTAAATCTTCGCTTTAAAAAAAAAACCACCACTTCTACTTCACCTATATACATAATAGCATAAAAAACTACAAATACCCAACCAAATCTTCAAGAATTAGAAGATTCTTAGAACGAGGCTAAGTAAATTATTTGGTTATTACTCATATAGCCAATAAGTTGATAATATACCTATTTCCCTCAAGAGCTTAGAAGGAATTACACCACCACTCCCTCACCAAACCTCTTATATAATATAAGTTTCTTTGATTTTTAAGGAAGGTTTGTAGCAAGGCTCCTCATGCAGACCTTAAACAGTAGGAATGCAAAAAAAACTTAAAAGAGGACAGTCTGAACCTTAATAATAACACTTATTAGAAATTTAATAATAAAAAATGTGTTTTCTTTAAACTATACTAAGTTAAAAGGGTTATACTATACTAAAAAAAAAAAGTTTTTCGAGAAAAAACTATTGCCATTGCTTTGATTGTTGTTGTTACACCTGATCTTAGATTTGATCTACGGATCGACATAATCGACAACAGTTCTAGAATTTCAAGCGAACGACGTGTGGAACATTTCATTCAATTTACCTGCAGTACACAGTAAAGTTTAATTGTTTAGAACAATTCTAAAGTTTATTTGTAAAAAAGACTTAAGGGTCTTTTACGTTTTATCGTTTGCAGCGATGTATTTTTTCTTAAAATTATTTATTTTCTCAAAAATAATTTTTTTTTTTTTTAATAATAAGTTACATAACAATAACTTATGTACAGTATGTACGTAACTAATTTTAATATTATGGATTCAATCAACATATTTTGTTATTAATGCTAATAATGAATAAATCCACTTATGAAAACAGAAAAGGTAACGTATTTCATAAGGACAGAATATAATCGAGAGTCTCTTTATGAAGGGAGAATATTAGCTGATCTTTGTTAAACTTCTTTTACAAAGATTAGAGCTTGTACCCGTTTATCCGACAACCCGGGAACAATATCCCGGAATAAATTATGCTTAACCGGTTGATCCGGTATCTGGTTAAATAAGAATGGTGAGAGATAAGGACTCTGAAAAGTTACGAAGTAGAATATCAATGAACGTTAAAGACGAGCAAAGTCATAAAATTTCGGGGGAAGTTCATGAAAAAGGACTTAGGTCGGCGTAAATAACATAAATTAGCGTGTCAACCGGTTCACCGAATCATTTGAAGTAACCCGGGTTGTGACCAGTGTTCGAAATCTCGTTTCAATTTTGTGTTCTCATTTCATATTCTCGCATATAATTTCCGGTTCTCAAAATGTTCTCACTATATAAAATTTGCAAATTGTGTGTTCGCGTTAGAGAATTTGTATTCTCATGAGAACGCTGAGAACACAAATTTCGAACATTGGTTGTGACCCGGTTAATACTGAGTAAACCGGAGCATAAATTTTTAGGCGGGTACAAGCTCTAACAAAGATCCTTGCATTTTGAATGGTTCTACGTACCGGTATGTTTTATTAATACTAGATTAAGAAAGTGTATTTAACGTTAATAATACGTATTATTGTACGTACGTTTAAAAAATTTTATTATCTGTTATTAGTTATTAAATTACTACGTAGTATAATTTTAACGTAGCGGTAGTCATATAATGGCAGAAGTCATGTAACAATAATTTTATCAAATTAGGCAATTCTTATATTAATTCTTACAACATACCATATTACCGGTAATTAGACTTTGGCTAAACACGTAATACCGACACATGAATTTTGTGTAACATTTGCATCATATATGATAAGATTAAATCATTTCCATAGATTTTTAACTCTAGAAACAAATCGTTACTTAAACTTCTGATATGACTACCATAGCAACTCATAAGGACCGTAATTTTATAGCAATCATAGGTGATGAGGTAATTTGAGGAATTTAATTTACATTGACTTTTAATATTTAAGAATTCAACTTAAACCTACTTTATTTTATAGGACTCAGTAACCGGACTTTTATTAGCTGGTGTCGGTCATGTTGATGGTGCTAGCAAAAACTTTCTCGTTGTTGATTCTAGTAAGATATATTTTTTACTACAAAGTATTTCAAATATTACTAAATAACGAAAAAAAAATCGAAAAAAAATTTTACATTTAGAAACAGCTTTATCAAAGATAGAAGAGACATTTCTCGAATTTACTAAAAGAAAAGACATTGCCATCATTTTAATAAATCAACATGTTTGTTTTCCTATCATTATTTGTTGTCTCTGCTATGAAAATGATCTTGATACATAATAATTACTAGATATCTCATAAGATCATTTCATGACAAAGACATCATCATTTTTAGATAATATTTTAAGATGATAACACAAACTTTGATTATATCAATAGATTGCCGAACACATTCGTCAATTGGTAGATGATTATGATCAGGCTTTTCCAACAATTCTTGAAATACCATCTAAAGATCATCCATACGGTATTAATTTTTACGTTATACAAAACAGTAGAAATATTTGATATATATATTTTTTTTATTGTGTTACAATTAATTTTGCATTATTAGATCCGGAGAAAGATAGCGTTTTAAAAAGAGTACAACGCCTTTTTGGAGAATAAAAATAGAGTTATATAATATAACTAAAAATGTTTATAATGTTTTTTATAATGTCTGTATTTTTAATAATATTTGATTTTTTTATTATTATTCCATTCTTACATGTTTTTTTTTGAATTAAATTATATATATAATTAAGTTATTTTATATATTGTCTATTTACGAGTTTTTTTTTTTTTTTTTTTTTTTTTACTAAATCCATAATAGGCTCGTGCCTTTTTGGTATTTTAATGTAATATTTAATAATCTAATTATGAATATTATAAAATTGGGTTATTCCAGAGGAATACCTTCGTATTCATCATATCCGAGGGCGAGGTTAATATTCTGGGTTATAAAGATCAAGTTAATTTTACAAGAAAACATGAAAAACAATCGAAAAATGTCAAATAATTTTATTTAAACAAACCTGTAAAGCTTGAGTAGCAGCTCCTTTCAATAAGTTATCAATAGTTGCTACGATTACAACTCTTTTACCTGATGAATGTACACCGAATCCACCGATATTCACATTGTGTTTTGTAGAAATATCCTTTACAAGTGGTACATCATCTACAACTTTGACAAGTTTTTCTCCAGCATATTTTTCATTATATAACTCGCGTATTTCTGCAGATTTGAAAGTTTTGGTGAGGGGAATGTTGACAGTCAAGGTGATTCCCTGAAAGAAAGGTGCAACGTGTGGGATAAAATTTACGGGTTTTCCTAAATGGTACGAGATTTCTCGTTCATGAATATGATCCGTAAGTGAATATGGAATCATGTTATTCTCGAGAAATTTGGGATCATTTTTAGGTGATGGTTTGGTTCCAGCACCAGAATAACCAGAAACTCCAAAAACAGTAGGTGTTTCTGATATGAATGGTAATAATGGAGCTATGGCAAGTTGAGATCCAGTAGCGTAACATCCAGGATTTGAGATTCTTGTGGCCTTACGCAAGAGTTCACGATTTTTGAGTTCTATATAAAATTTAGTATTAGTAAAGTAAATTGAAAAAAATGCTAGATATAATATTTTCCAGGTTATTACCAGGTAAACCGTATGTCCATTCATCGTTGAATCTATAATCGGCACTAAGATCTATAATTAAACTTTTGTTGGATTGAGCTTCATTGACAGCCTGTACAAATGGCATACAAACACCGTTTGGCAAAGCCATGACCCAACAATCGATTTCACCATTTTTCTGCATTTGTTTTAATTGTTCCGCTTTCAAGTTAACATATGTGATCTTTTCTTTAGTATAACCAGAGAGCTCTTTACCTTCCAATTCTCGAGAAGATACGTGAGATAATGAAAGATATGGATGATTATTTAACAATGATATAAAATTCTGGCCAGTGTAGCCACGTGCACCAATAAGAGCAACTTTTGATGATGCTGTAGAGGTAGAATATTGACGACGCAATAAATTTGAAGCCGAAAACGTATTATTATATCGTGCTAAAGTGGAAAAATTTCTGGAGACATTAGTGAATGCTCGACCCGTAGATGATGATCGAGTTGTTTCTTCGTTAGATAACGTGGCAACAAAATTTTTAACCGCGACGGAAACTTCTTCAACATCTAAACCATACCAAAACAATATTTTGTCATTTATTGTATAACTACCATCAGCTCTAGCAAAATGCCAAGATTTGTTTTCATCACGGTCATCGATAGCCCAAAGTAATCGAGGATTGTCCTTTTGGATACTATTCCATATATTATCTATTACATTACTGAACATACTATTTTTTGTAGCAATGAATTTTTCAAGGAATGGAATATCATTCGAAACAACCTTTTCTTGGGTTACAATTGCTAAGACATCATAGGGTTCATCACTGTAAACTTTATAAGATTTTTTGTAAAGCTTTGACATAAATTCAGAATTCATATCTAACATTCTTTGCAATTTATTTTTATCCATTTCGTCCAATGAGTTGAACTTAAAGAGACGATAACCGCGACGAATTAGAGTACCAGCACCACTATCTGTGAATAGCTCCTTTGGGAGCTGTCCTACGGCTGTGATAGCTACAGACGATGATCGAGGTAGATAATCAAGAAGTTCTTTGATCTCTTTCAACTTCAATCGTGTTCCATATTTGACCCATGGTTGTGCCATATAATGATCATATTCCTGAAAAAAATGTCAAGATACTTTGGAATTTTTTCATAATAAAAACTTAAACGTATTATTATATCATATATGTAACATACCTCATCAAGATTTATAACATCAATTTTTTTTCCAGTCTCGCCATTCATAAGTCCACCTTTTTCATTGAGATAAATAATTTTTAATGGTTCTAATGCCTTTGCTAATTCTCCAGCAGCCACATCAGCATTTACGTTTAATATTTGTCCAGAAGGAGTTTCAGCTAAGCTTGTTAGGATAGGTAACGCACCAGCTCGAATACTAGCATTTACAACGTTTTTATTTATACCAGTGACATTTCCAACATAACCATACTGTTCACGATCTAAATAATCAGCGATAAATACACCACCTGTAATAGGTCGAGCACGAGTTCCTAATTTTTCCAAAGCTTCAACTAATTTAAGATTTTCTTGTACAAATACAGATCTTGCAACTTCAAGAGTTTTTGCATCAGTTACTCTAATACCATTAACATAATTAGGTTTTATAGCAGCTTTTTCTAATTCTATATTTAATTGTGGACCACCACCATGTAATACAATTGGATATAATCCAACACGATTTAAAAATGAAAGTGAAGAAGCAAGTGAATCTAATTCATCAGAAATAACTGCACCACCAACTTTTATTACAGCAAATTTTTGAGATTCAACTGATGAAAATTGACGGAGATATTGCTCCGCTTCTTTTTTTGAACCAATATTATACAAAAGTCTTATAATCGTTTCCTTTTTTTTTTTTTTTAAAAAAAAAAAAAATGATAATAAAATTTAACATTTCACATTGTCGACGTTAAAAAAAAAAATTAAAATTAAATAATTAAACCTTTTCATTTTTTTGTAAATCTCTGGAATATAAACGGCTTTGTTGTTTTGTAAGTTTTATAAGAGGTTTCTTTTGTCTTTGTAATGTAGACAAAGAGCCTAAACGTCTTGCATTAAACAAAACTGATTTTGAAAGTACATGTTTACCAACTTTTGTTATTATCATTATTAAATTACTTTTTAAACGATAATGAAAGAAAAAAAATGAAAACGAGATAACTTGGCAATAAGTTTTACTTACGAACTTTTATTGTTTATAATTGAGATCGATAACGATAAAATAGATGGGAATATAAAGTAATTGTAATATAGATAAAGTGTAATTTATGATATGATATTGATACGTATAGATATTTATGTAATGTTTACAAATGATGCATTTAAAATCTTGATCAATTGATAATCATACATTCACTATTTTTGATTATTAATTTTTAGCCTTTTTCTTTTGTGGAACAATCTCATTCGACTCATCATCATCATCAATCTCAAAAACATTTTTGTTACCATTTTTCTTTTTACCCAATGATATATCCTTAATTAAATTTTTTGGAATATCAGCATCGGCTAATGTCTGTTTACCAATAAGCCTATATAGAAGATCAATTTCCTTTTCGTAAATTTCAAGGTCATCGTCAGGTACAGGGGTCTCCAGAATTAAAGGTATTTCATCCATACGAATATCATTCATAATTAATCGAAAAGGCTCCAAACCCAAATAACCTTTTAAATTTTTAATGGAATAATTTAAGAGAGGTTTAAATGAGATCGAGTCAATAACGATATGATATATTCTATGATATAAAAAATCTATCCTTCCATACCTTTACCGATGTTTGCATGCCTATCACGACGAGAACCTAATTCTTTAAGAGAATCATTCAAATGCACACCTCTTAAGTATTGGAAACCAACATGACGAGAGAAATCAGACATAGTTTCTTCATAACTTTCTTTTGTACGAAGATCATAACCCTAATTTGATAAAGTTGATATAAAAGTTGATATAAATTTGTGAACGTTGTTAGATAAACAAAATGTAAATCTTTAAAAATACTTGCCGCAGCAAACGCATGGCATGTATCAATACACACACCAATACGGTTTTTATCTTAAAAATCAAAGAAAGAATTGTTATTCAAAGAATATTCCATAGAAAAAAATAAAAAAAAATCTAGCATTGATACATACTTTTGACCAGTGAAATGATTTTACCAAGTTCTTCAAATTTCGCTCCCACGGAATTTCCAGCGCCCGCCTGTGATATCGATATATTAAAAATTTTTGGTACGTAGATATAAATATTTATTGATTAACCTTAATAAGATAAATTTGACAATCTATATACCATATTTTCAACTACACAAATAACACTTTTTGTCGCATTATGCGCTCTATTAATACAATCGGCGATATATTGTATAGATTCATCTGGTGTACATTTTCCAACAGTTGAACCTGGACTTTAAAAAAGATTTAATTAAAAATTAATTAATAAAATTGCCAAACCACATAAAAAATTAGAAAATTTTAATATATTGTACGTACTGAAAATTATACAAATTAAGACC